GAGAGAGAAAAAGGGGGACAGAAGCAGCCTGCCAAGCCTTCAAGTGGCTCTGATCAGAAGGATATGCTAAGCCCTCCCCCACCCAGGCAGCCAAGCCCCCTCAGGCCGAAGGTCTCCCTAATTCCCACCATCTCCAGAGGAAATGGAGAGGCAGCAGGACATTTTGTTTCCCAGAAAAACCTCAGGTCAAATTTCAAGGACAAAAGTTAGCATTTGATCTAGGAAAGAAAACTCTGCCAAAGAGTATCAACTGGGAGGAGGGAGGATTCTGGTGTGGTCACTCCAGGAGTCTGGGGATGGGGGCAAGAATTAGAACTCTGAATCCCCACCCCAACCCAGCCACCACCACCACCACCACCACCACCACCACCACCACCACCAGGATCTATCTGGCAGGATATGAGGATCTCCACTTCACGACCCAGAAGTAATTCAGACAACCTCCATTTCCCCTCTGTCCAAAAATGAGAGGGAGAAGGCCCTGGTACTAGTTTATGGGGCCCATCCACCATGCCCTCCCCAAACACTCACACCAGATTTGGTCTGAGCGGAAGAGGGTGGTGCTGTGAGGGGCTTTGAAGCCCAGAGATGTGGCCCGAACCGCTAGGAGAGGAACCGGTAGCCGGCTGGTGTTGCCATGGCAACTTCCTCCCTGCGCTGGAAGCATCCATCCTATGGGCAAATCAGAGCTGGCTGCTCCAGCTTCTCCGCCCTTCTCCTGGATGGGCGGGGGAGAACTGGATGCCCAAACCACTTGGGCAGGCTCAGAAACACCATCCTCAATTCCAGACCCTAATGTAACAATTTCCTATGGCATGTGGTGGAAATGGGATGCACCTCTATTCTCCAGCTATGCCCCAAGGCCGAGGGGTAGGGGGCAGAACTGTAGATGTACAAATGAACTAACTGGTCAGAGAGAGCAAGGAAATGGATAGCCAGAATGCTTTTCACCCTCTTGCTTGGCATTAAAGTCTCCCAAATCCTCATCTTTACACAAGTTCAAAGAAGGAGCATCCAACTCTACTTTAATACTTACAACAATGCAATAAAATTAGCCTAGTAAAATTACAAAAGCTAACATTTTAAGAATCAGGTTTTTTCCCTGCTCAAATCCACAGATCCTTTATAGCCATGCTCAGAAACAACTCTCACTCAGTAATAAGATAGATTAAAGCTATCATGTATTGAGACCCACCTCGTACCAGTACTGTACTAAGCCCTTCTCACAGCAAGTAGCATAATCAAAAGCACAGATGCTCAAGTCAAATTGTCCAAGTTCAAATCTAACTCCCTCACTTTCTAACTGAGTGACCTTGAGTAAATGACTAAGTTTGTGCCTCAGTTTTCGCATCTGAGATGAGATGAACATCTGGGGATGTTAATAGGAAATTAATTTTATAGAGGTCACCCAGACCTAGTGGCACAAGCCCATAATCCCAGAGTTTAAGACAGGAGGATCTCCGTGAGTCTGAGGCCAGCCTGGGCCTCAAACAAGTTCAAGACCAGCCTGAACTATATAGTCAGACTCTGTCTCAAAAAAAATTTTTTAATAGAGGTATTATGAGGAAAGAATCAAGACAATATATTTGAAGTGTCTGGAAAGACATCTAGCCCAACATAACACTGACACTATGGGGTCCATGTTATTATATTTTTCTTCATACAAATAAGAAAACTGGGATCATATGTCTTATTCCTCCCTCTAGGCCTCCCCAGTTACAAACCCAGGTGCCAACAAGGTTAACCAACAAAGATACAAGCAAAAAATGTCCACAAGCGCCCAGCTCTCTAAAGTGCCGGTATCCTTGGGCAAAGGGGCAAAGCAACATCATAAAAAATGCATTCAGAATCCCCGGTACCCCCCCCCCCAAATGCATTCAGAGTGCACAACGGAAGCTTCCTTTTGACAGGAAGTCAAGGAACCTGCAGTGACTAACCTCCTCGGCCAAGAGTGGCTAGAAAGGGGTGGGAAGAACAGACAGCTTCTTTTGCCCGCTCCGGTCTCCAAGGCTCCCAAATCGAAAGCAGGAATTTATCTGCCCTATTTAAGGCTAATGGAAAAAAGAAGTCTCCTCCTCACACTATTTCTCAAGAAAGTAGCTGGAAAGTGGCACGTGAGCCCTGAAGATGCTCTGCTTCGATCTGGTGGATGGAAAAGATGCATTTGACATGGGTTGGAAGCAGCAACAAAGGGGAGGCTCTCACATGAACCTGAGGCCTGTCAGAGAGACACTTCTGAGTAAGAGCCATCAGGGACAGATTGGCAGCAAGAGGGCCAGCAGACTGGGGGAGAAGCAAGTGAAGCCAAGCCTGCACTGACAATTCCTACCGAAGGAGTCTCCATCCAGTAGCCCAGGGACTACTGTTCTCCAACTGCTTTTAGCAATTAGTTCAGTGCAGTAATGTTCAAAAGGAGTAAATCCAAAGGGCTGCTTTTAGGAGAAAATTAATGACTTTGAGAAGACAAATTAAGCACCAAGACAAGGTTCCCTACTTCCGACTTTCACCAGACACTCATTCTTCCAGAAATGAAAGTTGACTTTCTCCCTTCCCCTCCCAAACTCAAGGCAGCCCTCGAGACAGGCAGATAGCAGGCTCAAGATATCCAAACCCATCTCTCAGCTTGGCAGCCCCTCCCCTAGGCCTCCTCACCTGGGAACCATTTCCCACACGGTGAGGTCTGGCTTTTTACAACAGCCTCTTTCAGAAACAGGGCTACCAGCTTTCTGGAAAAAACCGGAAACCAGATTTGAGTCTCAGCTCTGTGCTTGCTATACTGGATGACCTTGGGTTATATGCAGACAGATATATGCACACATCGCACATCAAGACTTCTGTCTCACACACACAGAGTCACACGTACACAAATACACATGCACACTTTCATCTATCTGGAGGGCTAGAAGGGGCTGAAAGATGATTTTTAGGTCTCTTCCAAGTGAAGCACTTAAGAATCTGAAGAAACAAACCCACTGGGGAAAAAAAACATGAGGTGGACCTTTAAAAATATCACTAATATTACATGAAGTTATCTGTTGACTTAAGTGAATCCTGGAGCAAGTTGCCTGCAGCCTGCAATAATCACCAAGGTGTCTAATCCATGACATGGAACATGACTTTGAGAAAAACAAAATCATACCTGCCTCTCACGCTCCTGCTCAGCCTGGCTCCTGAGACCCAAGTGGCCTGCTGAACTTAAGGAGAGTGCCTAGCCCTGACAGGAGGGCTGGGAGCCAGCTCACCTGGGCTGCAAGGCCTTCCTGCCAGGCTCCCCCTCTGCAGCTGCTCCCTTCCCCAGACCCCCAAGCTAGCCTGACTTCCTTTTCCCAATTTTGCTTCCGCAGAAGCCACTGCATTAGGGAGTCCCCATTTCCTCCTCAAGGACCTTGCCTTTTCCAGAACACAACCTCCCTCGGCTACATCAGGGGGAAGTTAAGCCTCTGAGCCTGTTATCTGTTCTGTAAAATGTGATTTCATAAAATGGCTCTGCAGTTACCCAGTCCCAGCTCCAGGTCAACAGCAAGAGTGGTTTATCAGGGGTCTGCCTCACCTACCCTCATCCACTCAAAAGCCCAGATTCTGGAGAATTTTCTCTTCTTTCTCCTGCAGCACCTGCCACCGAATCCCATGACAGAACCTAGGTAGCAGTGTGGACCAGATGAAGGTCCCAGCAGGCAGAGAGTCAAAACCTCCACCCATGAACTCCCTAGAACTGCAGGCTAAATTTCCTGAATGGTCCATATGTGCATTTTTTGGAGAGATAGTCCATGTTTTCATCAGTCTTGCAAGTGTCCATGAAATCTTGTTCCTCCTCACCACAGACATTTGTCTTTCTGTCCCCTCACTGAATACAAATACTGGACGATTTTCAGCTCGCAAAACACTTTTAACTGCACTCTCAGAGAGCCCTAAGTGTAAGGCACCAGGGTCCCCACTTCACAGATAAGGAAGCTGAGGCTGAGGGGTGGCATAACTTGCCCAAGGTTGCAATTTATAAGGACGGGAGACTGGAGCCTGGTCCTGACTCCCAATCTGCACTCTTTAGGGAACTCTCGCCCAAGCCTTCCACCTACCCCACCTGTTGTTGAATTCTCTTTCTCACCCCCGAACCAAATCCAGAGCTCCAAAGGTCCCTCTGCCTAGTCCCAGGGCCCCAAAGCACAGGTTCTCCTGCACCTCCCCACCCCTCTTGCTAACGTGGCGCACAAGCCTGGGAGCAGGAGGTTCAGACGCAGGATGGAGGCCGGGTTCAGCCCCCACAGAGGCCACTCCAGGGACAGGAGTCACCTGGGGACAGGGGCACAGGGCACAAGTGCAGAGTTGGAGCCGCCTTACACCTCCCTCCAGGAATTGCCGGCAAAAAGCGGAAAGGCCGTAACCCATCCGGTTCTCCGCGATCAGCCCCAGTCTGGTAAGAACCTGGAGTCCGGAGCCCCAGCTGGTGGGGAAAGAGTCGGAGATACAAACCAGGGCGGGCAAGGCCTTGAACGCCGGGTGGGGGTCTTGGACACGGAGCCTCTGGGTGCAGCCAAGACAAAGATGGAGAGGTAAGATCTGTGCGCCAGCTCCAGTAGCCGGGCGGCGCGCTGGAGCCCCAGCGGTGAGGTAGCCAGTGTCCCCGGGCTTAAAGAGTGGGCACCTACTGTACTGAACACTCGTGGACAGTGGCAGGTAGGACACAGGAACAAAACAAGTGGGGAATATCCAGTAGCGCCAGTGAGAAGGGACAGTTGGTTCCAGGCGACCCAGGGGCCCACCTGGGGGAAAGGGGTAAATGCAGATGATCTAGGGGTCCCTGGGGGTAAGGATCAAAGAGATCACATCCCAGAGCCCCTGAGGTCCCTTGGGAAAGGGGGGAGAGCCCGGGGCGCCTCCCCGAGTGAGGCTGGGGATGGAGGACAGATACTGGTCCGCTTTAAAAACGCATGGGGTCCGGGAAGGGGCCTCCAGCTCTCGGTGCCAGGACGACACCCAAGGTCGGGGTCGGGCTGCGCGCTTACCCGCGTCCTCGTCGTCGAAGGAGTTCATGCACGGGAAGTAGATGGCGAGCGCCTCGAACGAGGCGGACAGGCTGAGGCGGCTCTGCGAGCGCTCCATGCCCGCTCCGGCGCCCGGAGCCTCGGCCGCGGCGGCGGCGGGCGGCTTGGGCAGCTTGGCCGCCCCATTCTTGACGCGGAGTACGGCGCGCGGCGTGGTGGCGGCAGCCCGGGGCCGGGCCGGGGCTCCGCGGCGGGGCTGACG